GCCTCAGAAGAGTCGACCCACTGTCCCTTCTGGTTGCCCCTCACACCTCTACGTCTGTACACTTTTCCCCTGATCATCAGGCCTGAGTGTGGTTCTTGGACCTGATATCTTTCCTGGAAGGCTCAGATGATATTTCACCCCAAGCCCGAGATGTGGAAGCTGTTGGTCTGGTCCTTGAGGTGTCAGGTCCTGAGGATTTGTGTTAACCGCTCAGGCTTGTGGAGTGTCCAAGCAGCTTCTGTCCCACTGGATTGTTGATGCAATTTATCTCGCCTATGAGGCTTGTGGATTGTCTTCGCCTCTAGGCGTCAGAGCCCACTCCACTAGGAGTGTGGATTCTTCTAAGGCACTAAAGTTGATGATAAACAGGGCAACTGTTTTGAGCTTGGGCACTTTCCCGTTGAGAATGGGCAACAAATTTCTATCTGGATACTTTAGATCGGTCGTGGGCCCTGTGTCTCACCTGGTTGCCCGTTGACGGCACCAATGCTCAGCAATATTGCTCAAAAAGTTGCCACTTGTATCATCACCTTAAGGCTGGTGCTCTCCCCACACATTCATCAGGTTTTATAGTTTGGAAATGGATTCAACTCCAGGATCTCAGGTTGTTTTGGGTTAATTCTCCTCGTATGGCCATAAAGTTCATAAATTGAAAAAGAAAGAAAAAAAGTTTTCACTTTATTTTGATGGTCCCTTTAACACATTCTGATGACTATAAGTAATGTTGCCCCTACATGTCTACTAACTCTCATTAGACTGTTAGTAGAGTATTAGTAGACTGGTAGGGTTAGAAAAAGTTGACATGTAGTTGCAAAGTTACTTAGAGTCAGTATAATGTCTGTTGGAGGAGCATCACAATAGAGAGTTTGCAGATATTGAGCAGACAGTCTACTAATAGTCTGATGAGAGTTAGTTGACATGAAGTTCCTCATAGTCAACAGAATGTTCAAAAGGGACCATCAAAATAAAGTGTTTCCGAAAAATAAATAAAAAAAGTAAATCACAACCTTTTGGTCGATAATTTTTTCACTTTGCTTATGAGCATGTTTCGCCTCTAGGCATCAAGTAAACTATACTGGGTGCATGGTTTCTTTTTAGGCGTTAGCTAAAAGCTGCGCCCTAATGAGATGTTGTGCTGCGGCAGGCTGGTCCATTTCTTACTCCTTAATTGATTTTATAATTTGGACAATGAATGTACAAAGAAAGATATTTCAGTACCCAAACCCTTCAAGAGGTTAACAGGTTTATGCGTACTTATACTTCACAATATAATTTGCTGCATATCATCCAGTCTTTGAGATTCAAGCATTCTCTGTGAAAGAAGATAAAGAAGATTCTGTATGCTTTTATAATCAAATAACTTCCTTTTTAGCCTTTTGAGGTGCGCAGAATGCTTTAAAATTTAAATGCTTTAAAAAGTCTTTAAAATTCAGTTTACCTGTGGGACTGACTGCATGCTTCATCTTTGGGTAGTGGGGCCTACTCCACCTGGTTAATATGCCTAATACTGTATATGTTTGTGTTGTGGCAGGCTGGACCTTTCCACCCACATTCATGGGTATTTATTGTTGAACTGGATTGTCCCAAGGCTTAAAGGGTTAGTTCACCCAAAAATAAAAATGATGTCATTAATGACTCACCCTCATGTCGTCCCAAGCCCGTAAGACCTCCGTTCATCTTCCGAACACAGTTTAAGATATTTTAGATTTAGTCCGAGAGCTTTCTGTCCCTCCATTGAAAATGTGTGTACGGTATACTGTCCTTGTCCAGAAAGGAAATAAAGACATCATCAAAGTAGTCCATGTGACATCAGTGGGTTAGTTGGAATGTTTTGAAGCATCGAAAATACATTTTGGTCCAAAAATAACAAAAACTACGACTTTATTCAGCATTGTATTGTGTTCCGGTTCTGTTGTGGATCCTTCCACAACTTCCTTTCTGGACAAGGACAGTATAGCGCACATACATTATCAATGGAGGGACAGAATGCTCTCGAACTAAATCTAAAATATCATAAACTGTGTTTCGAAGATGAATGGAGGTCTTACGGGCTTGGAACGACATGAGGGAGAGTCATTAATGACATCATTTTAATTTTTGGGCGAACTAACCCTTTAAACTCATTTGGGTTAATCCATTGGTCAGGCTTTTTTTTTTCTCAGTATGGCGAAATGGGTATTAATGTTCCTATAGCATCAACGTCATGACGCAGTGTTCAGTTCCACTCGAAAGGGAACGTCTCAGGTTATGTATGTAACCCTGTCACTGAGAGGGGAACGAGACACTGCACACGCAATGCCTGAAAACATCCTTCAGGAAATTATAATCTGGTGACGTGCATCTATTTATGGTCTCGGTGATGCGAACAGCTATGTCACCTGACCACGCTGTAGGCCAATAGAATTGGCGTGTTTTCACACGTCCATCAGACACCAGCTCACACAACATCTCTTTCCCCTCTCAGGGAACCCGCTTACATACAGTACATAACCTCAGAGTGACGTTATACAGAATTAATTTATTATGGTGTCGTTTATATATGGTTAACCACACCATATGTGATTTTTGAACTCAGAAACCAATTCAAAAGAGCGATTCTTTGTCAAATCGGACATTTTTAGTCAGGAGTGATGCTGCTCCCCCTTCTGTTTTACCTGGTATTGTCGTATCAACAGCTCATCCCGCACCTCACTGGGTGTGTTAACTATTGCTCACACATCCTATTGTTTTCTCAAGCATGAGCTTTAGCCTGACAAGACTGAGAGGAACTAAACAGAGTGTGGATGTACTGACCTTTCAGTGTTTCTGGACGAGTGCATCTACAGTTTGTTGAGAATGCCAGCACTGCCCAGTCACTGTTGTACATGTCAAACCAAATCATTTTAGCACCTTTATATTTACCACATTATTACTTTTAGACTCATTTTAAACTGAACAATTTAAGGACATAAACTAGCAACACACCTGTTAAAAATTGCATTGTGTTTCCAAAAGATCCAGAAAAATTTCCAAAAGATCCAGAATCCTTGTTCAAAAATAACCATTACTTAAGCCTATACACACGACACGCCTCACACCTCTTTTTAGTCTTCTTGTATTCAACAGACTCTTTAGGATATTTACTTTTATTCAACGGCAGGAAACGAGAGCCGAACAATAAATGCAGTGTCAGGGGCTCAAGTCCTCTGAGCATAACCACTGGGTGGCTATTGTCTGAACTTCCTGTTAACGTGTGTATAATACTACTGTCAGTTTAGGGCGACACGGCCATCTGGGAAACATATTGGAGAGTTTGTTTTACTTTAAACCAATGCAAGGTATAAGCCTTTGCAGAGCTTCAAATGCTTTGCACTGTAGCATATAGTGATATTATTGTGTGTATTGTTTGGGGAAAAGTTCTAAGAGTACTTATTTTATACAAGTGTTCTGTCAAAATTGTGTAAAATATAAACCAAAATAGACATCTGAATGTATTCGTGTTCTACTTTGGCAATGTTTTTACCATTTTGCACTACAACAACTCTCAAATTAAGCTCATGTCTGCATGGCTCATATAAGGTATTTGTAAATTGTGGCATCTAATGCCAGTGTTCCCTACACTGCTTTTTAACTGTGGCACACCTGTACTGTTGAATGTACAACACGATAAAAAAATAAGTGATATTTTTTGTCACTAAATGTGATAAGATAAGGTGATAATGAAAGACAGGGTGCCACAAAAAATGGCAAGAAAAAGACAGCGTATCCCAAAAAATGGATAAAAATAGAGCAGTGTCAGAATCACAAACAAATGACTTTTTTAAACAGGTTTTTAAAAGATAGCTGTTTAAAAGAAAAGATATCTGGACGATATTCGACAAAAGTTCACACACTTTGACTTACACCCCAAAAGTTCTTACTTTAAAAATATAAACATAATATTGAATTTTCGATATGGGTGTGATTTTTATAAAGTAAAACATTCAAGTATCTTTAAGGTATGTTTACCACAAGCCTTATTTCACTCATAAATTGAAAACCCCCAATATAAAAACCCATAGGAGAACCCTTGAGGAAACCAGTGGCGAATTACTCTTCCTGGTTACGGCGTCATCCCTGCAAACAAGTCTCCAGAAGAGCACATTCAATTCAACAGCAGTGCTAAATATTCAACAAAATCAGAAGAAGCTAATCCAGACATCATTTATTCGCCTTTTTGTACTAAATTTAGCAATATGGAATGAAATTATGACTTCATGAGCAATGAATCATCCATCCATTTTCCAAATCTAAACCACTTGTCCTAGGATGCAGGGATGCTTGAGCCTGTCCCAACACCTTGGGCTGAAGGCAGGGAAACACCTTGGACGCGTGGCCAGTCAATCACAGGGCTCACACACACACACCGGCCAGTTTAGGGTCTCCAGTTCACCTATCCTGTTCACTATCTTTGGATTGGGGGAAACCGGAGCACCCAGAGGAAACCTACGCTAACATGGGTTAAACATGCAAACTCCACACAAAAGGCCTCCATGGCTCCTGGACTCAAACTGCTACACTAAGCCGTCACAATGAATCATATTTTTCACAATTTGTCGTAATTTTTTCACATTTCAACTTTCAACTAGTGATGTTTAAGGCTATACTGGCCAGCACTGCTGCTCTAAATATTAGATCGGAATCGATTTAACATGGAATATGGAGTCGATTCCAAAATTTATTTACCTGAGGATGTGATCGCTGTTGCCATGTTGCATGAACTTGTTGCCAAAAATATGATAATTGCTTTTATCTGTTGTTTATTTGCATTGTGAGACTTTCCCGTAACTACAATGCAAATAGACAGTGCATGAGGAAATTAGGAAAAATGTGTCGAATTGTCATATTATAACACGTAAACACACACCCTGCATCATCATGTCGTCACAGAGAGGGGGTCTCCATGGTAACGCGCCATGAAGAGGCTGCAGTCCCTGAGGAAGAGCGCGCCCGCGTGTGTGTGTGTGTGTGGATCTGGTCATGTGGTCTCACAAGATGGCGACTCCAGTGCTGGGATGTGAGGAGTGAATCAGACCTGCAGTAAAACACACCGCGCTCATCACAACTGCTGCTCACACACACACCCGATCATCTCTCCTCACACAACACACTCATTCTCCAGTGCTCGCTGTTCAGCTGTTGCTGTTGGATTCGCTGGGATTTAAAGTTTAGCTCGGCAACATCGCTTATGCAGGATTCCTAGATTGGACAATTCATCAAAACCCCATCGCCTTCCGAATATAATCATACAATCAGAGTCCTTCCTCGTGGAATAACTGTGGATGTGAGGATATAAGGCAGATTGTGTGTGTTGTTCAAACCGTTGTCCATCTGGATCACTGACTGCAATGGCCATCCATGTGTTCGGTGAGTCGATCATATTTCATAGCTTTTATTATAGTTCCTATGCCAACAGATCGCAGTGTGTAATGTGTGTGAAAGCAAACACACACACACATGGATTTGACAGATTTCCCTTTGGGCTCGTGATGTTGCGCGATCATAACATGATATTGTATCGTTTTTTTCAGTGAAAGTAACAGTAGTCACTGACCATCTGTGTTTTTATTTGCATTATTGCGTGCAGATGAACACAAGTCACAATGAGATCATGTGTTCAAAATAAGTTTGACTTCACCCTGCAGTTTGCCATTGTTCTGATGATATTGAAGGAGATCAGGTTATTCTTTTCTTTTGTTTGTCTTCATTTGCTTTGTTGAAGTAGTCAGTATCGTCCTTCATATAGCAACAGGTTAATATATTGAACCAGAACGGAGAAACATGTTGACATGTTCTGTGACCCAATCTAAAATATTTTAAGCATAAATTAATATGCAAGATGTTTATGAGCTCATATTAATTATTGGACTATAGAATTAGCGCTTTATACATTTCATCAAAAATAATGTCACGGCAGGACCATTTCAAATGAACAAAAGGTGATTCAAATGAATGAAAAACCATCTAAATGCACACTTGATATACATGTGAACTTAAAACATGAATTTTATTCAAAACAAGCTCTTGGACATGTTATATATCAGGATATGGCCTCAAACACTTGTTGACATTATGGAGAAAAAATATATGTGCTCTTATCTTTGGACGAGGAAACGTACGCCTCATTTTTCTATTAATATGTAATGCTGAATCATACACACAGATTATCAGGTCTAGTGTGTGACTGTTCGCGTTAAAGGAATAGTTCACCCAAAAAAAAAACATAATTTACTTGCCCTCAAGTCATCCTAGGTGTACATGACTTTCTTCTTTCATACGAATACAATCAGAGTTATATTATTAATAAACACCCTGACACTTCCAATAATGACAGTGAATGGTACCTTAGATTTTGAAGCCCAAAAAAACGCATCCTTCCATCATAAAAATAATCTGTATGGCTCCATAAGGTTAATAAAGCCCTTCTGAAGTGAAGACAAATATCCATATTTATAACTCTAAACTCATAAACTATAATCACTGACTTCCGGTAACGGCCGTATGCGAGTCGAGTTCTGGCGGAAGAGTGACCTCTGACCCGACGCATGACAAGTGACCTCTGACCCGAGTCCGAGGCATGGCGAGTGACCTCTGACCCGACGCATGGCGAGTGACCTCTGACCCGACGCATGACCAGCGACCTCTGACCTGAGTCCGACGCATGATTGGTGACCTCTGACCCGAGTCCGACGCATGACGGGTGACCTCTGACCCGAGTCCGACGCATGGCGAGTGACCTCTGACCCGACGCATGACCAGCGACCTCTGACCCGACGCATGACCAGCGACCTCTGACCCGACGCATGACCAGCGACCTCTGACCCGACGCATGGCGAGTGACCTCTGACCGACGAGTGACCTCTGACCGACGCCTGACGAGTGACCTCTGACCCGACGCCTGACGAGTGACCTCTGACCCGACGCATGACGAGTGACCTCTGACCCGACGCATGGCGAGTGACCTCTGACGACGCCTGACGAGTGACCTCTGACCCGACGCCTGACGAGTGACCTCTGACCCGACGCATGACGAGTGACCTCTGACCCGACGCATGACGAGTGACCTCTGACCCGACGCATGGCGAGTGACCTCTGACCGACGCCTGACGAGTGACCTCTGACCCAACGCATGACGTAATGACGAACGCGGAAGCGCAGAGGACAGAGTAAAACAAAACACCAGTCCAGAATTGACCCTTCGCAGGGAGCTTGATTGACAGGTGATCTGACCAATCATACTTCGCCATCCGCCATTTTGTCCGACAAAGCAGTCAGGAGAGTTAGGAGATTAACATGGGAGGATTTGAATTTGAAAAACGGTGTGTACTGATGCCTTTCTGCGGTTAAAACAACATTCCTTCTTATGTTCAGTCATGTTTATTTGATGCTATAAATGAACTAGAAGGAAGAGATGATCGGATCACGAGCAGCTTTAACTGATGCTCTACAGCGATCTGTCACGACACATTAAAGAGACACAAAACGGTATTTATTGTTTAAATTTCTTTTAAAAAAATTACTAAATTTGAAAGGTGAGACTTTGTTTAAAGGGCACTGCGCACTGTTGACGTTGACAGCAGCGCGGATTGATAGAAATGGATAGAAAATAGTGCCGATTAAAACTGAGGTATGAATTTTGACCGGCGTGTTTTTTATGTGGTAAATTAATCAAGCTTTGAAACGCAAATAATTTTTTCATGTAAAAACGCACAGTTTTGTGGCACCGGAAAAAAACCGAGAGTACTTTATTGAAAAACTTCCAGCGGCCAGAACTCTGACCAGGGAGGTGACAACAGAGTGGGTCAGTGTGTATGCACTATAGTGCTGGTAAGGATTGCATACAACTTCATGTCTTAAATGGGCGAACTAACCCTTTAATATGTTTAATATCAAAAGTAACCGAAAAGTAACCTGGTCTGTCAGCGTGTTGTCAGTCCGCAATGTATTTTTCACTGCGTGAGAACATGGTGTGTGTGTGTGTGTGAGAGCAGCGTAGCTTGTCGGACATAGCGACAGTAACTAAGGGGGGCGGGTCTTTGCGAACTGTCAATTAAAAGTGTAAAACACAAATTTTTAAAGAGAAATGTGGGAGGAGCTTGAGTTTGTTGCCCAGCTCTATTTGTTTGAACCGCGAGAGGCGTCAAAGCTTACACTAGTCCTACAGGACATCATACGCCATGCGTCGGGTCAGAGGTCACCCGTCATGCGTCGGGTCAGAGGTCACCCGTCATGCCTCGGGTCAGAGGTCACCCGTCATGCGTCGGGTCAGAGGTCACCCGTCATGCCTCGGGTCAGAGGTCACCCGTCATGCGTCGGGTCAGAGGTCACCCGTCATGCCTCGGGTCAGAGGTCACCCGTCATGCGTCGGGTCAGAGGTCACCCGTCATGCGTCGGGTCAGAGGTCACCCGTCATGCCTCGGGTCAGAGGTCACCCGTCATGCGTCGGGTCAGAGGTCACCCGTCATGCGTCGGGTCAGAGGTCACCCGCCATGCCTCGGGTCAGAGGTCACCCGTCATGCGTCGGGTCAGAGGTCACCCGTCATGCGTCGGGTCAGAGGTCACCCGTCATGCGTCGGGTCAGAGGTCACTCGCCATGCCTCGGGTCAGAGGTCACTCGTCATGCGTCGGGTCAGAGGTCACCCGTCATGCGTCGGGTCAGAGGTCACCCGTCATGCGTCGGGTCAGAGGTCACCCGTCATGCGTCGGGTCAGAGGTCACCCGTCATGCGTCGGGTCAGAGGTCACTCGCCATGCCTCGGGTCAGAGGTCACCCGTCATGCGTCGGGTCAGAGGTCACCCGTCATGCGTCGGGTCAGAGGTCACCCGTCATGCGTCGGGTCAGAGGTCACCCGTCATGCGTCGGGTCAGAGGTCACCCGTCATGCGTCGGGTCAGAGGTCACCCGTCATGCGTCGGGTCAGAGGTCACTCGCCATGCCTCGGGTCAGAGGTCACCCGTCATGCGTCGGGTCAGAGGTCACCCGCCATGCGTCGGGTCAGAGGTCACTCGCCATGCCTCGGGTCAGAGGTCACCCGTCATGCGTCGGGTCAGAGGTCACCCGTCATGCGTCGGGTTAGAGGTCACCCGTCATGCGTCGGGTCAGAGGTCACCCGTCATGCGTCGGGTCAGAGGTCACCCGTCATGCGTCGGGTCAGAGGTCACCCGTCATGCGTCGGGTCAGAGGTCACTCGCCATGCCTCGGGTCAGAGGTCACTCGTCATGCGTCGGGTCAGAGGTCACCCGTCATGCGTCGGGTCAGAGGTCACCCGTCATGCGTCGGGTCAGAGGTCACCCGTCATGCGTCGGGTCAGAGGTCACCCGTCATGCGTCGGGACAGAGGTCACCCGTCATGCGTCGGGTCAGAGGTCACCCGTCATGCGTCGGGTCAGAGGTCACCCGTCATGCGTCGGGTCAGAGGTCACTCTTCTGCCGGAACTAGACTCGCGTATGGTCGTAACTGTTAGAAATATGGATATTTTTCTTACTCAAACGCATGGCTATGCTTCAGAAGGCCTATATTGAGTAGTATGGATTTCTTTTATGATGGATGGATACACTTTTTTGGGTTTCAAAATCGAAGGTACCATTCACTCCCATTATAAAGCTTGGAAAAGAGCCAGGATATTTTTTTATTCTGGCTCTTCCAAATGCTTCAAACTTGGAAGTACCCTTTGTGATGAACAATAGAATGTTTTTTTTTTTTTTCTATTTTGGATGTTTCTGTGAAAGGAAGAGGAAGCTGTCAGAGGCTCTTTCCTTGGAGAGAGAGAGTGAGAGTGAGTTGTAATGGTTGTGGAGCGGGGCCAGTCGTGCTGTGAAGGGCCTCTCCTCTCTATTGTTCATGAAGTGCTCACTGCAGGGTCTTTACACAGGGTTTCCTGCTCGTATTCATTAATCTTCTAATGAGCACTCGGAAGAAGCATCTACATCTTGCTGTCAGCTCAACTGCAAATCCATCCAGAAACGCCACCAACACCGTATACCCTGCAAAATATCCTGCATTTAAAAAAAGAGGAGTACAAATAAGAAGGTTATCAAGGCTGCTTTTAATTATTTGATGAAAAATACAGTAAACCTGTAATATTGTGAAATAATATTACAATTTAAATTAAGTTTTCCATGTTAATAATATATAGTGAAATGTAATTTATTCTGTGATCAAAGTTGTATTTTTAGCATCATTACTCCAGTCTTCAGTGTCACATGATCCTTCAGAAATCAAGTCTAATTATTAATGCTAATCAAACAACAAAAGAGAAAATCTCTCACTGCTCGTCTTAAGCGCTTTTGTAACTTTAGTAAGAATAAATGTATATTTAATTTATACATTAATCACTATGCATGTTTTTTTTATATACATTTGATTACTTTATACATGTTATGCAGTATTTCTGGTTGTTTTTCAGGTGGCTCTGTCATTTGTGTCTTTGTTGTTTGTAGTTTGTTTTCTTTGCTCTTTTTCATCACTGTTTACTAGTCTTCAGTAAGCTTGAGAGGTTTTTTTAGGCTAGAATTAGTTTTTTTTAATTCTATTAAAAATGGAGATAAGAATGATGACATTTCAATGGTATCAAAAATGTTGATATCTAAAAAAACAACTATATTGTGATACATATCGTTATCTTGAAATAATATTACTCATATCCTGATATTCGATTGGTCATATCGCCCACCCCATAGAAACCCTGAGACTTTACTTTCCAAGATTCTTTGATGAAAAGAAAGTTCAAACGAACATCATTTATTTAAAATATAATTATTTTGTATCGTAATAAATGTCTTTACTGTCACTTTTGATTAATTTAATAAAGTGAATAAAAGTTTTTTTTTTTTTACCCCAAACATTTGAATGGTATTGTATCTCTGTTTCCACAGAAATATTTGAACATTGATAATAATCATAAATGTTTCTTGAGCATCAAATCATCATATTAGAGTGATTTCTGAAGGATCATGTGACTCTGAAGACTGGAGTTATGATGCTGGAAATTCAGCTTTGAATAAATTACACTTTATATTTTATTATACTTATACTTATTTTATTTTATTTTATTATACTTTATATTCACATAGAAAACAGCAGTTTAAAATTGTAATAATATTCAATATCAAAGAAATGCAAAAAACATAAAAAAACGCATTTATTCCAAACTTTTGGCCAACATAATATTATATAATATCATATTTCCTCTGTGTCTTGCATTGTCAACTAAAATGAATAAATTTAGTTTTAAAAAAAACTTTAACAAAATAATAAACTGCAACTCGTCCTGTTGTCCAGCAGAAGGCAGTCTCACACCATCAACACACACACACACACACACACACACACACACACACACACGTGAGGCTCTTGTGAAATGTCCTAGTGATGTTTGCTTTGGCTTACACACACTCATGTCAGATCACTAATACATACATAAAGATGTAAACATGAATTCTACTAGCGTTTCTTTTTAATGTGTCATTTTTCATACGCGAGCACTTGTTTAATTGAATAATGTCTCTTTTTTCCTCTCAGATAACGATGAGTACAGACCTCCCGTGTGGAAATCCTATTGTAAGTGTACTTTATAATGATTCAGCGACGTATAAAAGTGCAAAAAAGTGTTTTCTGTAAAATTTTCTTTGCTGTAAGATTTCACAAGTAAACATAATTCTAGTAGAGAAGTAAATCACCCTGTTTTATCTAGAGAGTACAGCTAATGAAAAGTTATTTTTTTTTAAAAAAAAAAGAAAAAAGAAGCCATGTATAATATAGAAATATGCAGTTAGATATGTACCTTTGCAAAAATATAAATATACAGACTTTCTCGTGCGCACGAGAAACTTTGAAACTCTCGAGATGCGTTTCTCGTGAGCACGTGAAAGTTTTGCAAATGTCCCTTTAAGGGCTCCGTAGTACGTGTATATAATTAACGGTATATATATTCCCATAGATAGACAGTAAATAAACATATCCCCCTTGTCCTGTGTGACTGTAATAGTGTACCAGCTCCAGCAGGAGGCGCCGCATCCACGCAGGGTCACGTGCACATCTGAGGTGAGTGTGTGTGAACATCGAGACTAGAATCGCAATGCAACACAAATAGGCTCTGAAAATGAAAGGGTTGTAATAATGAATGTATAAACCTAAGACTTTTAAGCATACACACATGTCAGATAAAAACGTGAGGATTTGAATGGGGTTTTGTGAGTCTGGAGGAAGACACATTAATGACCAGCTATCTGTGCTTGTGTTGACCCCTGTCCTGCTGTTTACTCAGGTACAACCCTCAGTTCTTCAGATAGTTTGTTGATATTTCTGTGCATGGTATAAAAGGAGTATTATATAGGTCAGCCATCTTCACTGAATTACTAATGCATGTGTTAATTGCTCGAGGGTCTAGACTTCTGGTCCTCCAGAGGCGAGATGCAATATAAACACAGCAGAAGAGAGGTGCGCCGCTCCATTACTCAGGCTGATATTAGAGGCAGTAATTAAGGATGCTGCTGTTGAATTATTCATCTGTATCATGATAATCGTGTGTTTGTGGAAACGGTGCTGTGTTTAGAGACAGGGGTGAAACATTTTAAACTCACTGGCCTGTCCCATCACAGTTTATCTTTAATGATAATATTAGGAATTTATAATATGGTGGTGATCATATTGGTATTCATAATATTCAGGCTATATATTTTTTTATTTTTTTAATTAATTAATTAATAATTAAGTTTGATTAGGCCTGTACTACTTCTATCCTCCATTTTCACCTTAAAATGAAATGCAAGTAATTTGAAAATGAAGCCTATTTTAGGACTTTTTTATTTATTTATTTTTTCACAAAAATTAAACAAATGTATACCCAGTAAAAATGACTGTAGCACAATTATTATTATTATTTCAATTATTTCAATCAGCAGAAATTATAAGCAGCGCAACACACACTGTGATGGTTTAATACTTTAAATCAAATTTTTATTTAATATATATATTTGTTTATTTATTTATTCTTTCAGAATTATGTTAAAAAAAGAGCTAGTTACATTTCACCCCAAAATAAAAAGAACAATAATTTGTACTTTTTTTTTTTTGCCTAAAAAAGTGCCTATTTTTCTTTTTTTTGTTGCTTTGTGACATTTTCCATGACAATAAACGCATTCATCCCCAGTAAAAATACAATGGTACAATGATTTTGTTTTACATTTATATAGCATGCAGTGTTTAAATACTATTTATTCATTCATTCAGATTCAGTTTGATTCTGCCGTTTTTTCTTTTGCATTGACATTATTTTCAAATGAAACATTCCCAGTAAAAATTACTGTTGTACAATGATAAAAAAAAAAAAAAAATTAATCAACATAAATTATAGGCTGCACAACAAATACCACAATGGTTTAACATTTAATTGTACTTATTTTTTATATCGCATTGGTAAAAAAAATAAAAATTGTCAAATCATAAAATAGGCTAAATTTTCTTTAAGCAAAATGCAATTTCCAATTATTTCCTTTTAATTTTGCAATGAAATATGTCCTGGATATTTCTTGACAGGTTTCCCTTCTATTTTTCTGCTCTTCTACTGACTTCTACTCTTCTTCTGCTCTTCACAAGCTTTTCTGTGTTTGTTTTAAAAACAGGCAAACATTATAAGCGATCCCTCACGAGTGCTGACGCACATATATTCTGTTAAGTTTTAGTGTGACTGTGTTTTATATATTCGTATGTTCTCGTTGATCATAAAGAAAGCCATATGCTGTAGTGCCTCTTAAAGCCGCAGACGTGTGTGTGTGTGTGTTTGGAGGGAGTTTTAATAAGATGTTGATCTGCTGAACACTGATGGTGTCTCCTGCTGTCAGTGGCGGTTCTAGAGGGAGGCCAGGGGGGGCCAGTGCCCCTGTGACAAAAAGCTTGGCCCCCCTTGTGGCCCCCCTAAATGTGGAGTTTGAAATAATTTTTACAAAACTGTTTTTTGCTATCGTTGTATGCGTATTATTTTTTATTTTTCTATCTTAATTGTGGATTTGCATTTTCACGTGACAATTCGCATCACATTCGCGGGAATCGTGGCAGGATAACGCCTGTCTCCTGCACGCGAGAGAGGAGAGAAGGAGAAAGTTGGTAAATGTCAGTTCAGTTGTAAGTTCATTCTTTATGTGCGTATGGGGTGTGCGGTGTGTATTGTCTATTATGATATTGTAATCATTGTTTTAACTATGTACGAGGCACTGTGAGGTGACATCGCATTTGTCTATCGTCCTTTCACTGCTGTGTGCAGTTCATAGGTAGGCTATGTCCCCAAATTAGTTTTTGTCTTATATTTATATCATATTATGTTCTTATATTAGAATATCACATCAGCAAGAGTGCCGTTTTCCCGTGCACAATTGCAACTGTGATATTTATGTTATACAACAGTTAAATTAACAATAAGTTACCATTGGGAGTTACTTTTTTAGACACAATATTGTCAATATTGTTTGTTTTCCCTTTATTTCGCCGACTAGAATTTCATAATGAAACCGTAGTGAGTCTCAATGCAACACAGCGCTGATTTATTGACTGAAATCCGCGTTTTGAACGAATCACTTGCTTCTTTCCCGAATAAATCAGCCGTTTGAACAAATCGTTTGAATGAATGAATCCCTCTTACAGGGACTTGCCGCCGCCTACTGGCGGTTTTAGTTTCATATTTAAAGTATCCTTTAATTAAAACGTTAAAATTAGAAATAATTTCATATTTAAATATTGATTTAAAAAAAATCTCATAGCTTTATTTATGCAATTGTAAATGGAGTGTAAATATATTAATGCCACTTCTGTGTCACCTCTGCACTGCAAAGATGGATTTTGATTGAATTAATTAATTTGACTGGTAACAGTGGTACTGTATAATTATTGTATAATTAAGTATTATTGTATGAATAAGTATAATTACTGTATAATTTGAATGTTAGTATTTGACATAAAAGGTGATGCATAACTCTAAATAAGTTTAGAAAAAATGTCCATATATAGGTGAAAATGCCCCTGGAAATCAATTTAAGGTGGCAAATATTGCCCCTTAATTAAAAAATGTATTTCTGTCACTGCTGTGAACTGACCACTGCATAGAATATGAAAAATATTAATATCTTCGTGAGTCAGCTGTCAACAACAGGCCTAAACCAGCCATGGCACCAGCACAAAAACACAATCAGTAAAATATTATCTAATTATTAACAAAATGTTGAAAATATTGAAATATATTTTTGTCAATATTGCACACCCCTAATGTACGGTATTAATTTTGATTTCTTTAGGTCTTAAAAAGCCTTAAATTTGACTTTAAAAAGTGTGCAGGAACCCTGTAAACGGTTAGACATATCAAGTCGGTTATTTTCAGTAAATGAATTAATAAGCTTCTTGGTCCCCATTGCTTTTGCTCTATAGTTCTCAAAATGAAGAGAAAGAAGGACATCATGTCTATTACAGTTACTGTGACTAATACTGAATATGTAATGCAAATGTAAAAATATAATGGAAATGCAAATACATTGTTGAATGATTATAAACACGGTATTTTGCCTGTTAATGCCTGCAGCAGTGCAGAAAATGATATGACAACAATAAGGTCTAAATGTAACTGGCCCCTCTAACAGTACAACTGGCCCCAGCTTGGCCCCCCCAGTTGAAATGGGCTAGAACCGCCACTGCCTGCTGTTAGCACAATTCAGCAGGTATTTTACACACACCCCCTCTCAGCTGACTGGACGTCTTCTTAATTAATGCTGGATTAACATTAAACAGATGCACACTGCTCTTCATGTTTATCTCAAGGGCTTCTTAAGGATTCATTCTGGCCCGTTCCTCGCTCTGGGCTTCTGGCCATTATCTGCTCCTGTAAAGCGCATCAGTCCAGTGCGGGGCGGGGGGTTATTGTGCCAAGAGGTTTAACCCTGTCTAATCCCCTTCAAATGGCCCCACATTTATTTTTTGCATTCAGAACATGCAAATCAGTGAGCAGAGTCCTCTCACACACACACACACACACACACACACTGTCCAGAGCTCAGCACACAACTCACTGGACACTTCAAAAGCGTTCGGCTTTCCTTTTATCAAGAGTCATGATGACAGATAGTGCTTTTGCTTCAGGACTCTTACATTAGACATAAGTGGCGACCTCAGTGGCCTGTCTAATTTTAAACCCATAACCCGTACTTATTGTAATCTAGGTCATAATATATTTTTTTACGTCGCAGAATTTTCTTTGTGGTTTTTCCATGTTAAGTGTTCAGCAAACACAAAATGGTAAAATTTTGAAAGTTTTCTGCTAAAATGATTGGGATAAGATAATTATTTAAGACCCAGGAATACTTAGTTGCCAGGATTTTTAAAATAATTTATACTCTGAAATAGATGTTCTGGTTTCTTAGTTTGCTCATTTTCAAAATTTATTTTCATTAACGCAAATATCTAATCACCCAATCACATGGCAGCAACTCAGTGCATTAGTCAAGATGATCTGCAAGATCAAGTTCAAGTGCAAGTTCAAACTGAGCATCAGAATAGGCAATACAGTTGATTTAAGTGACTTTGAACATGCCATGGTCAGACGAGTGTTTCAGAAACTGCTGATCTACTGGGATTTTCACAAACAACCATCTCTAGGGTTTACAGAGAATGATCAGAAAAAGAGGAAATATCTAATGAGAGTCGGTTCTGTGGGAGAAAATGCCTTGTTGAGGTCAGAGGAGAATGACCAGACTGGTTCAGCTGATAGAAAGACAACAGTAACTCAAATAAGCACTTGATACAACCGAGGTCTGCAGAAGAACATCTCTGAACACACAATACACCAAACCTGGAAGCAGAAGAGCATCTCTGAACACACAACACACCAAACCTTGAAGCAGAAGAGCATCTCTGAACACACAACACACCAAACCTTGAAGCAGAAGAGCATCTCTGAACACACAACACACCAAACCTTGAAGCAGAAGAGCATCTCTGAACACACAACACACCAAACCTTGAAGCAGAAGAGCATCTCTGAACACACAACACACCAAACCTTG